CCTCCCTTCTTACGGCTGCCCCCTCCCCGTGCTTGCGGGCCCCCCTCCCCTTAACCCCCCTTCGCTAATGTCTCGCCTTGTAAACGCCACAGTTCCTGCAGGCCCTTGAAAGCAAATGACGTCCCTGGACTTGCATTGTGCGATTGGAGAAAGGGCCCTGGCAGGCCGCCGCCGGCCAAATGCGCCATTTCAATTGATGGCGCACGGCGAGATGGAGATGTCTGCCGCTGCCGCCGCCGCCGCCGCCGCGCTTGGCCGAGGAGGCAGGCGGGCTGGCGAGCGAGAGAACGAGCAGTTCCACGGTCGCTCCCTCTGCCGGCCCGGCCGGCGCGGCAGCAGCAGCAGCAGCCGAACCCAGCCTTCTCTCTCCGCCTCTCCGCCGCCTCCGCCTCCCCTCCCTGCGCCTCCAGCCCTCTCCATAAACTTTGAACAAAAGCAGCTCGAGTCGGGGCCAAGCGTTTCTGCAGAGCGCTCCCTCTGGGCCAGCCCGGAGCCTTCCTCCTCGCTGCTGCTGCTCTCCTAAAGGATGGGGAGCCTGGCTGAGATCCACGGGAGCGTCTTTCTTTCTTTCTTTCTTTCTTTCTTTCTTTCTTTCTTTCTTTCTTTCTTTCTTTCTTTTCCTTTTTCCTTCTCTCTCTCTCTCTCTTTTCCTTCCTTCCTGGGAAACTGTATGCACTTTTCCATGTTTTTCCTGCTTACCTGTCAAATTTCCAGGTTTGATCCCACAGCACTGATGGGATGAGTGTTGGAAAGGGATGTTTCCTATATACCCATTTCCTTCTCTTCCTTCCGAAGTTAGTAGACACCCCCTCCCCACTCTAATACATTGCAATAGTGTTAAGAGAGGCATATCACACACACCCCGGAAGACTTCCTCAGTTAAAAACCAGGGCAACAACATGTCCCCACAAGTATTGTTCTCCAGGCCTCACCTTCTCTTTTCCTGGCCACATAGCTTGAAATCAACTCCAGACATTAAGTTAGGCCAGGTTGCTCTTTTGCAAAGATGTGGGTTTCCACCTTAAAATGACTAGCTCTGTCTCTCTCTTTTATTACTCCAGAATAAACATTAAAATACAATAAATGTGCAAATGTGGATCTGGAATAAACAGGGAGCATTATTCATGCGCTCATTGGTGAAGTTGTAATGTATAACAGTTCAGGAATTTGACTTCGGATAATTGGGACACTCCTTAACTATTCACCTAACTATTGCAATTCAGATCCTGGGGAACAAATTTGTGTCTGGGGGAGGGGTAATCTTTAGCCTTTCCCTCTTAAAACAACAAGAGAACCAGATTTTATATATGTTGATAAGAGGTTCATCCATCTGGTTTATGGAATGCTAGGCACAGATGTCTCTCACACACCCTCCATTTTCCCCACACAATTTTGACCCTGTGGGCTACTTATGCCTCTCCTTGTTCTTTGCTCTGTGCTTCCACAGTTTTCTGTGTATAAAAGTTCTGCAGCAGGTCTTCTGTGGGATATTGTACCTGAAAAAGGGGATCCAGCTTCAGGATCACAGCATGAACACCTCCTCTCCCAATTCTTTTAAATCAATGTGTTGTCATTGTTCAGTCGCACAGTTAAGTCCGACTCTTCGCGACCCCATGGATTACATCACACCAGACCCTCCTGTTTCTCATTGTCCTCCAGAGTTTGCTTAATTTTATGTTTGTTGCATCGATAATACTGTCTAACCATCTCATCCTTTGCTGTCCCCTTCTTCTTTCACCTTCAGTCTTTCTCAGCATCAGGGTTTTCTCCAGTGAGTGCTCCCTTCTCATTTGGTGGCCAAAGTATGTGAGCTTCAGCTTCAGTATCAGACCTTCCAGGGAACAGTCAGGGTTGATTTCTTTTAGGATTGACTGATTTGATCTCCTTGCAGTCCAAGGGACTCTCAAGAGTCTTCTCCAGCACCATAATTCGAAAGCATCTATTCTGAATCAATGTATGCATGTATCACAGAAGCCTGTTTGGGTGAGAATGAACCCAAGTGTACATCTTCAGCGCCTGCTAGCTGCAAAGAGGTGCAATTGCAGAAAAGTTATGTAATTTTTAAAAAATTGGCTGTGAAAGGTCAAGCCACATTCAGGGGCCGAAGGATGGGAAGCACCTGCTTTTGTTAAGAACCCTCTTCTAGCAGGAAGAAAAGGCCATTTAAGCAAGAAAGATTTTTAAAACTGAGAGTTCCTGGCACCTGATAGTTGTCGGGGGGGGGGGGGGGGGGAGGAGAGGAAGGATCGGCTCTCCTGCACTCCCTGATTCCATTTCCGAGGAGCACGGGGAAAGAGACAAAGCCTCTTAAAAATTAGGGGTTTTTAAAAAGTTATCTTCTGTAACAGGAATAAACAGAAACTTTTTTTTTCCTTAGGGGGGAAAGGTTTATTTATTTATTTCCCAAGTACAAACTACAGGAGAAGAGGGAAATTTTCTCATTAAAGTAACATCCCTGCAGTTAGTTCAATTACTTGATATATGCAGAAGATGTTGTAAATTTAAAGATTTAAATAGCTTACAAAGATGCCGGAGGCTCCATCAGTTAATTTCCTTAATTTATGGATTTTTTAGCTCAGCTTCTGAAATGGAGGAAAAAAGAAGAAGAAGAAAAAGAGAACTAGGTCAGTGGAGAGATTTGCATCCAGCTCTAGACTGCTAGTTTGGTTTGCCTAGGCTGCCTCCCCACTGCAAAGCTGTCAGCTATGCTGCCATGAAGGTTGGGGAGTTTGGTCTGTATCTGGTTAATTGCTATTGCTTTCCTTTCATGTTAATTGCTACTGCATTCCTTTCTGTACTTTCTCTGCTGTGCACCGAAATGCTTATCTATACAGATGTGCAGGAGGGTGTTGTGGTGTCTAGGTTTTCCCTAGGTGTCGTGGGAGAGTGTTCGTTCTCAGCTACAGCTACCTAACGGTTTCTAAACTTTATCCCACACGTGGGAGGGTGCCTAAGTGGCCAGTGCTGTGGGGGGGTGCATACAAATACCCCAAATCCTATTATGCCCATGGGGCCGCCGCCATTCTTAACAGTGCCTATGTTACTGCATCTATAGCTCTGCAATAAAAGTATAACCGTTCCCGAATACGTGTACTTCGTTGTTGGCTGTGGGTTCTGACATTCTGTTAAGAATCCTCCATTCTCTATCTCTGCACATCTCTCTACAACCAAGATGAGCGACGGAGAGGAGAAACCGATTCCTGAGAAAGACGACTCCGGGGGGGGGTCTCGACTCCTACCACGATCGGTCAGGGGACCCCCACGACCCAGTCGACATTGCTGGTAACTAACACGCCGCCGGTAACTGCAGCTGACGCGGGAGCCGTTCCTAAGACGACATCGACCCAGGTGTTTTTGACCCCAATGGGGCCGAGGCGGCCGCCCAGCCATGATTATCGGCCAAGCTCCAGCTGGAGCCAGTTTCACCCGGACTCTACTGCCGAAACGTATATGCCCACGCAGGGGCCACCAAAAGACAGCCGATTCGATCGGGGGTTTTCCGGCGCAGGGGGGTTAACCTGGGGCATGGGGAGCTGTTACCTGGGGCATGGGTGACGGAGAGGACGAAGGTGAGAAGTGGCTGGGTGTCCCCGGAGGAGGGATTGGAACTAGCCCAGCGGATGGAGGTGGCGGATCGAGAGAGATGGATCGAAAGAGATGGCAAATGCAGCGAACACCAGAGGAGGTCATCGAAGCAATCCCTCAGCTGGTAATCCAAGCCATCCGGGAGGCCCGACCAGCAGTCCCCACGGGGCCAGTTTCCCCGCCGGCCCAACCGCAGCAGCCGCCCCGGCCCACGGACGCCCCGCAACTGGGCCCGCCCGATGTCCCAGTCCCAGCGCCACGTCCTGGCAGCCCAAGAGAACGGGCGATACCTCGCCCGAAAGACCTCATCGAAGCCACCTTTCATTGGGAACTCGGAGGAACTCTCCTACTTCGTGGTCCAAGTGATGAAGTTTGTGAAAAGATCGGGCC